AAAACACAGTAATGAGCTGAAGAATGTCTTTGACAGACTCATTGGTAGATTCAACACAACTGAGGAAAGAATCATTGAACTTGAAGATAGGTCAACAGAAATTACCCAAACTGAAGTGCAAAGAGACCCTTTCACATAAAACTAAGTTATTTCATTATCAGCTGTCTTATACTTTAAGAAATAATAAAGGAAATTCTTCAGCAGGAGAAACATGATACCATACAGAAACTTAGCTCTACACACAAAAATTGAGAACTCCAGAAATGGTTGAAAGGAAGATATTGTAAAGAAATTTTTTTCTTATTTTTAATTGCTCTAAAGACTATTGATTTTCTAATGCAGAAATAATGTTTTAGAGTTTATAACATGCATAAAGTAAAATTTATGAAGTATTTTACGAGTGGGGAAGGGAAGAGTTGGGAGTGTACTGTTGTCAGGATTTTATACTTTACATGAGGTGGTATAATTTTATTTGAAGGTAAACTGTTATTAATTTAAGTTATATATTGTAAATTCTGGGGCAACCACTAAAAATTTTAGAGGGAGGTAAGAACGAGCTGATAGTGAAGAAAGAGGAAGTCATAAAAAAAATCCAAAAGCATAGAGAAAGAGGGATAAAGAAACAAAGATTAAATGGAACATTGAGAAAACAGCTAACAAACTAGTAGTTTTGTTGCGGTACGCGGGCCTCTCACTGTTGTGGCCTCTCCCACTGCGGAGCACAGGCTCCGGACGTGCAAGCTCAGCGGCCATGGCCCACAGGCCCAGCTGCTCCGCGGCATGTGGGATTCTCCCAGACCAGGGCATGATCCCGTGTCCCCTGCATCGGCAGGCGGACTCTCAACCACTGCGCCACCAGGGAAGCCCAAAATGGTAGTTCTTAATCTAAATGTATCAATGATTATATTAAGTGTAAATGTTCTAAATACCTCAGTTAAAAAAGAGATTGTTCAGATTTTATAAAGATTAAAAAAAAGACCCAACTAAAGCCTATCTACAAGAAACACACTTCTAATTTAAAGATATAGATAGATTAAAGGTAAAAGAATGGAAAAAATGCACTATGCAAATACCAACCAAAAGAAGGCCAAAGTGGCTCTAGCAATATCAGGCAAGGTAGACTTCAGAACAATGAATATTACCTGCAGTAAAGAGGGATATTACATTATGGTGAAGAGGCAAATTCATGAAAAGATGTAACAATTCTAAATATGTATGAATATAACAACTAAGCTTATATATATGTGTGTGTATGTGTGTATATATATATATATATATATCAAAAACTGATGGAACTGAAAGGAGAAATGGCTAAATGCACAATTATAGTTGGTAACCGTAACACTAATTTCTCAGTAATTTATAGAATGAGTAGAGAGAAAATCAGTAAGGAGAGAAGACATTAACAACATTATCAACTAACTTGACCTAATGAGCAGTAGAACACCAGCAGAATATACAGTTTTTTCAAGTACATATGGAATATTTAGTTAGGCCATATTTGGTGTCATAAAACAAATAAATGCAAAATAATCAAAATAATGCAAAGTATTGCCTCTCACCAAAACAGAAATAGCTAGAAATCACTGACTGAAAGATATCTGGAAAACTCTTAATATTTTGAAATTGTACAACAAACACACACACACACACACACACACATACATACCATGGGTCAAAGAAAAAATAACAAGGAAAATTAGAAAATATTTTGATGTGAATGAAAATGAAAATATATCAACATTTTAAGGGATGCATGCTTAGAGGAAATTTATATCATTTGATGCTTATACTAGAAAAGAAGAAAGGCCTTCATTCTGTAACCTAAGCTTATACCTTAACTAGAAAAGAAGAGCAAATGAAACCCAAATCAGGCAGAAGGAAGGATATCATCGAGGGCAGAAATCAGTCAAATTGAAAACAAAGAGAGTAGAGAATGTCAATGAAACTAAAAGGTGTCCTTTGAAAAGATCAATAAAATTGATAATCCCCTAGCCAGACTGACTGAGTAAAAAGAGAGAAAGCGTGAATTACCAGTATCAGGAATGAGAGAGGGGATATCACTACAGATCCTGCAGCAATTAAAGTAAATAAGGTAACATTTTGAATAACATGATCGTAGTATGTCAGAAGGGCACTGGAACAAGGCTGAAGGCTGGTCAAATCTGGGACCACTTGAGCACCAAAATAATTAAATCCAGTAATGAATTATAAATCTTTGAAAAATAAAAGAGAATTCATGATTCCATACTGATAATAGATAGCTAATGGAGAAGGAAGGGCTGTTGCTTAGAGAAGAATGCTGAATGCTGACTGATAAGTATGGAGAAGTACTGGAGTGGGAATATTATTTTGCAACCATAGTAGTAAAAATTGATTCAAGCAGAAGACACCAATCAATGCTAAATCTGGGGAGAAAGTTAGATGAGAAGCAGGATATATCCATGGTCTTAAAGATGGATATCATTGTTTCTATATGTAATATCCTTAGGAGGACACAACACCAATCATGTAGTATTCAGGCTGGTAATATATAACTTGAACAACATGTAAAGAGCTTGAGCACATCATTGCCTCAGTGTTATTACTTCCTATGAAGTGACTTTTGGAACTTAGGTTGAGTTTTCTGAGGTATCTTGAAATACTTAGTTCTTCTCTACCTGAGCCTAATTAAACCAGACTCACTCAGTTTTGTTCCAGAGACCACCCGGTGACCAATGAGGCGTATTACCTTTTAACAGAAAAATAAACCTGATATGTTTTGGAGAGATGTTGCCTGTCTGTGTTCTAAAGCCTTAGTTCTGTTAAAGCCTATGGGAAAACCATAGCCTTTCAGGAGACCTTTTTCTGGGTTTGGATCTACTCTTTTACTTTTTATTTGGAAATCATTTTGGACTTATAGAAAAATTGCAAGAATAAGAGTACAGAGAACACTTACATTCTTCACCCAGATTTACCTATTGTTAACTTTTTACCCCATCTGTTAGCTGGCTGTGTATTTTTAAATTTTGTTTTCCTTCTTTGTTTTGCAGGAGTTTTTGTTTTTGTTTTCTTTTTGGTCGTGTGATATGTTCTAAAGACATTCAAAGCTAAAGAGGGTGCATACATTTGCATTTTGAAACCCAGATCTGTCTTGGCCCATTTGTGATTTCACTAGAATTGAGACAGCCTTTTATCTGGGATGAAGAATAACATTGCAAATTTGTATAGTGGTGGAAGAATTCATGTGCTTTCTGGTAAAAGTGCATTGGGTGAGGGGTAGAGGTTGTCAATCCAAGTGTCTTCTGAAATCATTCAGGGATTATCTCAATGCTATCTATTATCAATATGGAAATCTGGTGAGGAATTATATTGGGGCTAAAGAAGATAAGTGGTATTCCTTGATTAAGTTCTGTTTGGGGAGCAGAGTTAACAACTTACTGGTCATTTAAATACAGTAGAGAGAGAAGAGCAGGGTGCTTAGACATATGTTGATAAAATTACTTAGGTTGGTGAATTTAGTTCTAAGGTCCAAACTGTATTTTGATCAATTAAACTACTTCTTGTTCCTCCCTAGATGTGCAGAAGAGTTTAGGGCACCTTTTCCTGTTAGATCATAGTTCATGAAACTAAGCTTCTTTTTTTTTTGGCTGCGTTGGGTCTTCATTGCTGCGTGCCGGCTTTCTCTAGTTGCAGTGAGCGGGCTTATTGCGGTGGTTTCTCTTGTTGCAGAGCACAGGCTATAGGCACGGGGGCTTCAGTAGTTGTGGCTCACGGGTTCTAGAGCACAGGCTCAGTAGTTGTGGCACACGGGCTTAATTGCTCCGCAGCATGTGGGGTCTTCCCGGACCAGGGATCGAACCCGTGTCCCCTGCATTGGCAGGCGGATTCTTAACCACCCCGCCACCAGTGAAGTCCCTAAGCTTCTTTTTAAGATCTAGAACTTAGTATGTCAGGATCTAAGACTGTTTTTCTGTGTTTCAGGACCTTTGGAATTTCCTGAGACAGGCTCATTTTCTTAGAGTAGGAAGATGTAAAAGGATTTTATGATCACATGAATGAAAATGGAAGTTCCAAAGTCGATATAAATACAAAAGACCAGGCTTATACACAAATATTAATCATTGCAATGCTAAAGCAATCTTGTAGTGGAATTGAGGTATTGGGGTATCAGTTAAAATGTGGAATATTCTTTTAATTCACATCTATGGAGTTAAATTTTACAAGCCATTAAACATTGTAACTCAGACTATCTGTCAACATGTAAAAATGCTTGAGACATAATTTGGAAAAATCAGAATACACATTTCCTGCACACTGTGATTGTAACTAAAACTACTTATGTATATGAATAAGATGAAACTTCATAAAAAACTTAATATTGATGAACTATATTGTGGTAGTCAATATGCGGGTAATTTTTCCTGCTCTACTTTTTATACTTTCAGTAATGTTATATAGCATTTGCAGTTAAAAACAAATTAACCACCTTTTTAGAAAAAATTAAGCTTTACTTTTTAGAGCAGTTTTAGGTTCATAGCAAAATTGAACAGAAGGTACAGATTCCCCATATACTCCCAACCGCCCACCTGTGCAAAGCTTCCCCCACCAAAGTGGTACATTTGTTACAATTGATGAACCTTTAGTGAATCATCCTTAGCACCCAGAGTCCATAGCCAGTTTTTTAAAAAATGAAGTTGTCTGAATTTTGAAAATTGCATCCGGGTTTCTTCGTCAGTGACCCAGAAATCTGTAGGCAGAGAATCCTAGACTCTTACTTTTTGACTCCTGCTAGAAGCAGTATAAAAATGGAAGCAACAACAACAACAAAAAAAGGAAGCAATAGGAAGTTTATTCTCATTAATCCCCCCAGAAGTTCTCCAACCCCAACCCATTTTACCTTTTAACTCTTTTTATTTCCCTCTCACAGTCAGGGGACTGGGCTCTGCCTGTTCGGTTGTGACTGGGCAGTCCTGTCTGCAGTGTTCCATCTGGAATTGTCTCCTTTCGTCTCTCTCTAGGAAGTGCATTTTCGGCTGAGCACCTCAAGCTTCAACTCCAGAAGGAATCCCTAAATGAGTTGAGGAAGGAGTGTACTGCGAAAAGGTAAATGGAACACTGAGAATGGTTGTTATGAGTGTCGAGTTTACTTTGAGGAGAGGATTTGGAAAAGGAGTATTTTTTAAAGCTGCCGGTGTTAGTACCAGTTAATATGTTCAACGCCACTTTCACTTGTTCAACACCTACTGTGCTAGAGTCGGTTATGAGACCTCCTAGTATGTAGTCAGAATCGGAAGCATGGACACTGTTCTAGATTTCAGGGCCTCAGCACTGTGACTTAATGTTTGAATCTCCTCCTCTTCCTGTCTTCTACGTTTAGTGCAGCTTACAGTTTTTCTTCAGTAACTCCTTCAGACTTCTGTTAGCTCTCTTGGCTGACCTCAACAGCTCCCAGGTTCTCTCTCTAACATCAGTCTCTTCAGTTTTCAGTTCATCCTCCATGTTGCTAGCAGACTTCTCCTAAAATACTATTTTTTTTGTTTTGTTTTGCGGTGCGCGGGCCTCTCACTGTTGTGGCCTCTCCCGTTGCGGAGCACAGGCTCCGGACGCACAGGCTCAGTGGCCATGGCGTACGGGCCTAGCCGCTCCGCGGCATGTGGGATCTTCCCAGACCGGGGCACGAACCCGTGTCCCCTGCATCGGCAGGCGGACTCTCAACCACTGCGCCACCAGGGAAGCCCTCCTAAAATACTATTTTACCATCATTTTTTCTCTTCTTAAGAACCAATGGTGATTGTTTTGCCTCACTGTCAAATAACCTTCAATAAAATGGCCCCATACAGCTGTAGCTAATTGCAGTCGCTCTGTGACATTCATTTAACAAATGCTAATAGTTTTTCCCGTTATTTTTTCCAGCACATGCTTAACTTGTTACCACCTCTGATCTTTTCCTCATCTTCACTCACTTTTCCTAGAAAGTCATCCCATCCTGCATTTTTCTTTAAGAAACCTTAGCAATTGAGAAACCCGAAAAGAACCTTGGAGATCATCTAATCCTCTCAGTTTGCAGATAGGAAAGCAGAGCTCTGGAGGTTACTCTGTCCATTTCACTAGGAAAGCAGGACTAAATCCCTGTAAGTCTTCAGTGCTCTTTGCATTGTACTACTTTAGGTTCCACTTTGACCTACTGTTTCTCCTAAATTACCTCCTTTTTAATTGTTGACACAGCTGAGCAGGTAATATGCTCTACGGGTATTTTAGCTGTTGGTCATGTTTCTTAAATAGTTCAAGAGAAGAGCTACATCATCTCATGCCACAGCTTTTTGCTTTGTCCTTTTTTTATTCTGTTATTTTTGTAATATGGCAGCAGGTTATTTTTTGAGGTAGTTATAATATCTGTAGTTGTAAATGAAAATAGAATACTTTTTTGAGGAAATACCATATGGATATTTCCTAAAAACAAATTGGCCTCAGGTTAAATGAGACCTTGGTCAGCTTACTGAGCCTCTCTAAATCTTGTTTTCTTGTTTGTAAAATGGGTATAGTAATATCAACCGAGTAAGTTGTTGTAGTAATTAAAGCCATTTGTGAAGCTCCTGGCATGTAGTAGTAGGTGCCCAGCCAGTGATTTTGTACGTTTCACATCTCTTAGCATGGTGTTGGACACATAAAATAGGCCTCAGTGTAGTTAGCTTGATTGATAGTATTTAGTGATAGGTCATGACTCATGTTAGCTATTATTCTTGCTTCTACTTCTGTGGCCCAGTACAGACCATTAATCTTTCTCTGCATCAGTTAGGTGGAAATAACTGTTAGAAAGCATGCAAACATGTTTTTTTTTTAACAAATGTGCTTTTTTTTTCCTCATTAGAGAACTCTTTCTGAAGACTAATGCCCAGTTGACAATTCGTTGCAGGCAATTACTATCTGAGCTTTCCTACATTTACCCTATTGATTTGGTAAGTTTCAAATTTTCTGGGGGAAAAAAAAATTTTTTTAAGATGATTTCTGTTTGAAATTTTCTCTCAAAGCAAAAACTCATTGCTCCAGTCTTAATCATATGCTCTGTCATGATTCATTCAGAAGCTAATATTTATTTAAAAAGTAGATTTGGAATTAGTTGGCATTAGGTTCCACCATTTGATTTTTTTTCTATCAGTTTGGTGGTGGGGTGCACTCATCTTCATCTGAAAGAATGCCAAGTTATTTCTGGTTTTTCTTTAGGACCTTTTCACTCAACCAGATTATCAACTTTCACCATATCTGACACATAGATGCAGATACACGTGCATTGCTTTAAAAATATAACGGCGAATTAATTTATATTTATTAGTATTACCTAAGATATTCCTGAGGTAACTGTCAGGATATTAAGTTTCTGAATCTGGTTTCTTAGAGTAAATACAAATGTAACTGGTTAGGAGTTTTTTTAGAGAACTAAATCTGCTAAATTTGGTGGTTTTGTTTTCTTTTTAATGAAAAGAGACTTAAAAGACTAATTTTCTGAGAGGAAACCTAATAGGATTTTAGGTTGCTCACAGAATCTTGTTAATTCTACTTAAAAATTTTCATTTATAGCTATGAATTGGTCAAACGATAGTTTTATGATTAAAATTTGACACGGTTTTTTGCTTAGATATGATGTTTTAAATGTTTATAGTATAGAGAATTTGAAGTGTATATCAATGTACAGAATAGTATAATAAATCATCATGTACTCATTCAGCTTCAACAATTTGGTTAATAATTTGAGTCTATGACAGTATTGTCTTTGAATTAATACTGACGTAAATTTTTTCGATTTAGAACTTCTTTGCTTTATACATAAACAAAATTAATTTCATTCTTTGGTTGTATTTACAGAATGAGCATAAGGATTACTTTGTATGTGGTGTCAAGTTGCCTAATTCTGAGGACTTCCAAGGTATCGTATTTCTTATACTTCTAAAGATTTGGTATAATATACGGGTATGTTGCAGGGAAAAAGAGAGAGATCTTGAAATGTTGGTTGCCTGGCACTTTATCCAGAGGGTTTCTGGACCTTCTGTCCCTTCCCAATTGTAAGTATATAGAGTCAGATTCCCTGATGGAAGACTTAAGAGGATATTTGGTCTAATCATGAAAAAACAAAAAAATTGTTGAACTTTCTATTTGAAAGTTAAAAGAAAATACTTTTTGAATGAGCTTTAAGAAAATCAGACAGTAGGATTCTCAAGAATACTAATAATATCCCTGTCCTTTTGGTTTGATTTTTCATGAAAAATTTGTGTTGGGAGCAAAGCAATAAACATTAATTTGCTCTATTTAGAAAACCATATTTCTGCTGATGTAAAATGTATTTGAAAATTTAATTTTGTGACATTCCCACCCCTGTAGGTTAAACTTGTTGTACTGTCATTTCTGTCCTCTTTTAACTAAAATAAATTTACATTAAAGATGTTATAGATATGATTCATAGTAATTGCTATATTTAAAAATATTTTTCCTAATCCCTTTACCAGTATGCCAGAGAAAAGAACTTATTTTATTTGGCATATTGGTTAGAAAGATTACTTTTATTGTTAGCAAAGTGGGTTCTTTTCTCCTAATATAAACAGTGCTTTGAGGACTGTTAAGTAGTTGTGTAGATTATTCCCAAAGCTAGCACATTAATCTATTTGGGAATAAGTTATTCAAGAAGAAAGCATTACTAGTTCTGATTGGGACTTTCTCCCATTTCCCTATAAAGAAAATGTTGTTATTTGTGGTCCTTTAACATTTAAGACTGTTTTAATATATTACCTCCTTTGTCCTTTACAACAAGACTTACAATTAGTTGGGACGTAAGAAGAGTGATACAAATGAACCTAGCTATGAAACAGATACAAAATCAGGGACACAGAGAATAGACTGGTAGTTGCCAAGGGGGAGAGGAGTGGGATTTTGGGATTAGCAGATGCAAACTGGTATATATAGAATGGACAAACAACAAGTTTCTACTGTAGAGCACAGGGAACTATATTCAGTATCCTGTGATAAACCATAATGGAAAAGAATATGAAAAAGAATATATACATGTATAACTGAGTCACTTTGCTATATAGCAGTAATTGATACAACATTGTAATTCAACTATACTTCAATAAAAAATAAATTAAAAAAAAAAAGGAAGAGTGATTAAAACAGGAATGGGAAGACCTATATTTGAGTCCTGGTTCCCCTTCTAGAAACCATCTATTTTGGAACAAGTCATCTAAGCTTTGAGTTGATTTTCTAATTGATAGTATGAGCACATTAGTTCATGTACTACCTGTTTTACATGATTGTTAAGATTTTATTTAAGGGCAAGACATTTTGCCTTATAAGGAAGGTGGTATAATCTCATTTTACAATGTGTAAATGAGCTATTTAGTGACTTGCATGAGACCACAAAAGCTAAGCAATGATCTTGCTGGGATTTGTCTGGTTTCCATTGTACAGTGTTCCCTCTAATCTCTGTAAGTTATACAGATGTGCTTTGGTGTTAATTTTAGCTGTTACTTGTATGTTATGGTGTCTTGAAGCTCATGACACATCTTTTCCCCCATTCTTTCATTCCTTCATTTATTTAATAAACCTATTAAGTACCTTGAGCCCTGTGTCGGGTTGCAGGGATACAGAATATTCATTTATTGAAAAAAATAACAGTTGAGCACCTGAATGCCAGACACTGTGCTGTGTTTTGAGGATATAATGATGGAAAAAGCAAATATATTCTCTTCTTTCATGGAGCATACAACCTATTGAGGGAGACAGGCAATAAACAAGAAAATAAGTATTTAAAAAGTGGATGTATATAAAGGAATAATTTAATAAAGGAATACACTATCTTAGAGAATAGGGGAACCTACTGTAGATAAAGCAGTCAGAGAAGACCTGTCTGAGGAGAAACATTTAACCCAAAATCTGAAGGCTGAAAGGAACCAACTACACTACAGCTGGGGGAGGAGCATTCTTAGAAGAGGGAGCCGTCATGATGGAGGATATGGAGGAATGGGCTTGATATATCTGAAAAAATTCAGGGTGAGGGGCATGGGAGAAGATACCTGTATTTTGGGCAGATCATGTAATCTCTCAGAGCTTAATTTCTTCACCTGTAAAATGAGGTAATATTTACATCTTAAGTTCATTGTGATGATTGACTGAGATTGCATTTGAAAGGGCTTTTCATATAGAAGGCACTCAATAAATGTAATTGGAATTAGTTGCAAGAGAGAGGAAGGAAGGAAGGACAGAAAAGACCAGAGCAGCCCTGTGTAGCTGGAGCATAGTGAGAAAAGGGAAGAGTTCCATCAGAAGAGGTAAGAGAGTCAGCCAGGGCCTTGAGGCCTCTGGAAGGAGTTTCTATTTTATTCTCAGTGGAGTGGGAAACCCCTGAAGGGCTTCAAGAAGGGGGATGATATGAGTTGATTTATGTTTTTTAAAAGTTACAGTGGCTGCTAAATACAGAATGATCTGAGAGGCGGCAACAAGAGAAGCAGGGCTATCAGTATTGGAGTATCACCTTAATTCATTCTGGGATGTTTCTTGACTCTATTTTTGTTTTCTGGAGGTGATTTATTTCCTAGTTTTTCCTAGCTTTTGTTTGCTCTCTATACTTAGTATGCCCAACAAGCTGAATACATTCCTTCTTCCCTTAAAAAAGTTAGTTTAGCTTTCAAGTGCAGTTTTTACTGCTAAAAAAATGAAATGGGAGATAAAATGAAATAAATATTTAATTCTACTCTAAGGCCCTGTTTACTTCCCATGACTCCTAGGAGTCAGAAATTTTAAGCAGCACATATGGTAGTATTGGACTTTAAAATCTTACGTTGGCATTCTGTAAGGCACTTCCATGTACTAAATTTACTGAGTGCCTTGTGTGTGTCATTTACGGTGTCAGGTGCTGAGAGTATACAAAGGTGACCAAGGCATTAATCCTACCTCCATGAAACTTCAGTCCACTTGAGGTTAACGAGGCACTTAGAAGTTTATACCAGGTACATGGGACTCAGAGAGTGGGAATAATCAGGTCTGTCAGGAGGGAATCAGGAAAATCTTTATAGAGAAGATGATACCTGAGGTATTTTAAAAGATGAAATAGTATTCCCCTTTTGAAAGAAGGATGGGACATTTTAGGTTCGGTGAGTAGAAATATGGTAACATGGAACATGATACATGATGCTGTCTTGTTTATTTAATTCTCACCACTGTGAGAATTAATTCCTTCTGTGAGGGAAAGAGTTATACTCAACTTTTTGTTTTTTAAAGACAAGAAAATTGCAGCTCAGAGAGATTAGTTATTTTTTCCGAAGACTCATACTAGCCAGTGGCAGAGCTAAAATCATCCCTGGTCGGCCTGATTTTGAGGTCCATATTATTCCTGTCATGATGCAGTTTTCTTCCTTGTTTTGAATAATAACCTCTTCCAGACTTCTGACAACCTTTAGTGTTCTGTAGCAGCTGCATTCTTAGTAAGACTCTAGTGACAGAACTCTAAACCGGTTATTCTGTTATATTCATGAGACTTTGCTGGGATAGACTTTACATTGTATGGCTTGATACTGTTTGGGAAACTCCTCCATAGTGACCCAACACTTACTGTGCTCTTCTCCTCTCCTAACTGGGTAAGTTTCAGTTAGAGTATTCCAGAGAGACTGGGACACAACGGGAGAAAGTTGTCCAGTGAAGGGTATTCATTTGAGTTCCATTGACTGAGACATTTCTCATCCAAAAATTAAAAAAAAAAGAAAACTGTGTGTGTTTTTAAGTAATCCATAACATGAGAGCCTTTCGTGGTAATGAGACCTAGATTTCCTTCTGTGTCTGTATCCCTTCATACAGGCATGGTTTCTTGGAAAGGAGAGTCCATGTGTCAAACAGTGTCTCATTGAGAACATGGAATGATTCCATAGATGCTGTGGCAATGAGTAGAGTCTTAAATATTTTGTCCTGTCTGGATCAGTGGGTGCATGGTTCCTTAGCATATCAGCTGCCTTAGTGATTGGGAAGGCAGGATGGTAAGAGCTTTTAGATCACTTATTGTACTTGGATGCATTTGAATGTTAATAGTTTGTCCAACATATAAGTCAAAGGGACATTTGAATGAATTTATAATGTTGTCATGGCCATTGTGGGTTTGTGGAATCTATTATCATAACAATTACATAAAAGATTTAATTATAAAAAGAATTACTGCAGCCCCGAGTAGATACCTACATTTAAAAAACAAACCAGGGCTTCCCTGGTGACGCAGTGGTTGAGAGTCCGCCTGCCGATGCAGGGGACACGGGTTCGTGCCCCGGTCCGGGAAGATCCCACATGCCGCGGAGCGGCTGGGCCCGTGAGCCGTGGCCACTGAGCCTGCGCGTCCGAAGCCTGTGCTCCGCAGTGGGAGAGGCCACAACAGTGAGAGGCCCGAAAAACCAGAAATATTTATTATGAGGAAACTGCAGAATTTTGTTTTGTTTGTAAGCCCCTTAAAGCATTGTTTTAATAAGGGCTTTTTCACTTACCTGAGTCTACAGTTTATTCCTGTTCCTCCCTGAACCCTCCCACTCCCCCTCTAACTTCTTTTCACCAACAAACCTATCATCTGTGACCTTTCTAACCCCCAGAGCAGCATAAGGAATACAAGCCTCTGCTCTGCATTAGGTGTTAGGGGCGTCATTAATGCTTACTGGAAAAGCACACCCCAGAGAGCCAGGTTTTGGCTTTGGCAGGTAAAAAGTCTTTTAGATCTTGGAATGCTGGAAACCTTAAACCTTTTGGTTTTTTTAGCTAAAGTGATTGGCAACAGAATGTGACATCTGAGGTTTCGTGGCCAGCAATAGCCATAATTAACCACATGAGCTCACATTTTCCCACTGGAGGTACAGTGGTCTTGGGGTGATGAAAGTGACTTCCCTACCAGGAGGTGGTTTTCCTTTTGAGGGTATTGGAATACCCTTGGGCCCTGTAATGCCTTACCCGTGGTCCTTTTAAAATGCTTTTTAATATAAAGCTTCAATATTGGAAATCCAACACCACAGTGTTTAACTGCGAGGCTGTGACGGAGCACTATGGCCTGGAATGGGAAACAACCTAGGGTTTTTAATGGGTGGAGTGGGGAGTCTTGTGGTGGAAACAATGGTGAGTGTGAATAACTAGAATCAAAACTGATTTCCAGTATTACCCAGTTTTCCGTTTTTGCTATTTCTTTTTGGTTTTTGATGTACATATATAAGATTCTCTTAGAGATGCCCTTTTATGTTTAAATTTAATCAAAATTGGGTTTTTTTGTTGTTTTTTGTTTTTTTTTGCGGTACGCGGGCCTCTCACTGTTGTGGCCTCTCCCATTGCGGAGCACAGGCTCTGGACGCGCAGGCTCAGCAGCCATGGCTCACGGGCCCAGCCGCTCCGCGGCATGTGGGATCTTCCCGGACCGGGGCACGAACCCGTGTCCCCTGCATCAGCAGGCGGACTCTCAACCACTGTGCCACCAGGGAAGCCCTGTTTTGTTTTTAATTAATTAATTTTATTTATTTATTTTTGGCTGCTTTGGGTCTTCGTTGCTGCACGCAGGCTTTCTCTAGTTGCGGCGAGTGGGAGCTGCTCTTCGTTGCAGTGCACAGGCTTCTCATTGAGGTAGCTTCTCTTCTTTAAGCTGCACAGGCTCTAGGTGCACAGGCTTCAGTAGTTGTGGCGCATGGGCTTAGTTGCTCCACAGCATGTGACATCTTCCCGGACCAGGGCTCAAACCCGTGTCCCCTGCATTGGCAGGCAGATTCTTAACCACTGCGCCATCAGGGAAACCCACAAAATTGTTTTGATTATTGAAAGGAGATGGTGTTAGAAGACCAGTTTCCGTTCTTTTAATATATATGTGGATGTAGTCCTCGAAATAGGCAAACTTAATTCTTTAGTATTACCCTTTTAGTAATACGGAAAACTGGAGATGCTTGAGTGTTTAGCTTTGGATAGATTTTTTAAACTATAGTTTGCACTTGACCTATTTTGGGTAGGCTAACTGAGAGGCACTCTGATTTTTGGAAGTTTTCAAATCCTTTTCTGTCAGGTCACATACGAAAGGAAAAGCTTACTTACTGTAAGTTCTTACTGTAAGAGCTTACTTACTGTAAGTTCTCTTTTTCTTCCTCTCCCCTCAAAAGAAGGTTCTGAAAGACCAAGTCCTTTTACTGATAGAAATATTTTAAATTTGATAAGCCATATTCTTTAGAGAAAGCAGGAGGCAGGATTCAGCAACATCTGATGGAACTCACCATCCCAGCTGTGCTTCCAGGGATAAATATTTGGGGGGCTGGGGTGTAGATAGAATTCTCTCTCCCACTCCATCACTCATAGTTTTTACTTATATGGCTTTGACCAAGTCACTTATGCCACGTGAATCTTATTTTTCTCATTTCTAAGTTGATAGCATCAGATGCAGTGATTTCTAAGGTTTCTCCTGGCTCTAATATTATATATGATGATTAAATTATAATGTAATGCATTTACAATGTAATGTAATTTCAGTCTCTAAGGTAGTCTGATATACATATTTCAACAGTAGGAAAGTATTATAGTACTGTGAGTCTGGGCCAAGAGCACATGGTCTCTAAAAATAGGATTCTCGTCAGTTAGGGCATGCCCAGTAGTCAGTTGAAAGGAATGCTGTTTGATTTTTTTTTCATCAGTTTGATTTGAGAGAACATGTTACCAAGGAGTTTTTATGTGTTCTTTGCCCTTACTAGAAAAGTGTGAAGAAACTAAGATAATACACGTGTGTTATATGCTTGGTGTGTTCTAGGCTCCAAAGTTAAAAATTGTTACATTCCACAGTAAAGTTCTGCGACAGTATGGTAGAGTGCTTAAAGACAGAGGCATCCGTGTCAGGTCAACCCACATACTAGCTACCTTAGTTTGGACAGGTTCCTTAACTTCTTTGAACCTTATTTCTTCATCTATAAATTGAATGAAATAGCATATAAAACGTGCCCAGTTTATTAATTGTTGATGAATGAATGACTATCAGAAATAAAGCATCATGGTCAATTCCTGGCAGAAAAAAAAAGTGTACAATAAAAGTTACCTATTTTTACAGTATGATCAAGGAATCTGCTTTGGTAGTCAAGGGTGAAGAATGCACTGAGTAGTATACGGCTATAGTAGGGGTCCTACAGTAAGAAGGTAGTGCTTAGATAACCAAGTTTAAATATAAAAAAGAAGAATGTGGAAAATATTACTAATAATTGAAGTTAAAGGTACTCTTAAAAATCAGGAAATACTCAAGCCAAGGTCATCTCAATCATTTCAGCCTTTCTCTAGCCAGATGTATTCCAGATATGTGTTAAATGTGTGTGTGTGTGAGAGAGAGAGAGAGAGAGAACTTTTTAAAGTATTTTAAGAATATTGTATACCAAGCAGTTACTTTTTCCTTACCCCTGGGGCAAGCTTAAAACTTTTTATTGTATTACCCTCAGTTCTGGGTACCTGAATGATTATTTGTCACTTGGTAGGCAGTAGCAGAAATCTAGATGTTGAGTTAAAAATCTGTGACTTCTTAAAAGATACATACTTATGTTTGACTGTAGGAGACATGTATTTTTTCCAACAGTTGCTTCCACACAAAAATTGCATAAATAGAATATATATGAACAATGTGGTTTTTGACCTTTTACTATTTAAAACATTTTTTTCTCCTTATCCTATCTCAAACTTCACAGACTTAAACAATGCTCTCTTTATGAATATTGAGAACATACCCCATAAGGATGCACTGTGCTGTTTCACTTCACCTTGGAATTAATAACGTTGTACAATAGTACAACAGTACAACTGTTTTGCTCATAAAGTTGTTAACGAGTAAAATGTATAATAATATAGATGTAATGTTTAAACCTCTGAAACTAATTTTTGCATTGTATAATAGACTCAGGTATTATTTTTGCCCTTAAAAATGCTGGGAAAGAGAGTAATGGAGATTTGAATGCAGTAAGAACTCTTAAGATTATATATCAAATTTTAATCTCATCACATTAATTATTGGGAAATAGTTTTAAATGTAGTAGATGAAATTTCAAATCTTATTAATGTGTTTAGATTTCTATAAGATTCATATAATTTAGATAGGTGAATAATATTTTATCAATTATTTCTTATAAAATCTCTCTTGAAATTGATTTATTATGATCTCATAGGTACATTTATAAGGTAAATAGTTATTTTCTATTTCTCTGTTTTTGAATTTACAGCAAAAGATGATGGAAGCATTGCTGTTGCCCTTGGTTACACTGCTCATTTAGTATCAATGATTTCCTTTTTCCTACAAGTGCCCCTCAGATATCCTATAATTCATAAGGGATCGAGATCAACAATCAAAGATAATATTAATGACAAGTTGACTGAAAAGGAGAGAGAGTAAGTATCCTTTTAAAATATTCTTTTAACATTAAGGCAGTATGAAGCATCGACTGTATTAAAAATATAAAATGTGACCTAGATTGTGGTGATTTTTGTATATCCTTTGTAAAGTGCTCCATTTCTTTAAAATAGAGTGTAGTCAAAATTGCTGTTGATAGCAAAATTGACTCATTCAAATTTAATTTGCTTTTGTGAGGTAAGTATCATATACTCTGCAAATATTCATGTAATATCTGTTGCCGCTAGTCACCAAATGAAATGCGTAAAGATTTGTCAGAGAGACAACCAGGAAAAAGATAAAAGACTTAACAGCAGATTGTACATATCTAAAAAATGGGTTTGTGAACTGGAAGATAGCCCAGGAGAAAATACCTGACCAGGCACAAGTACAAAAGAGATGGATTTATCGAAAAGTGCTAGACATATGTAGGACACAATAAAAAGTCTAATATACATATAATTGGAGTCACAGAGAGGGAGAAGAGAGCACACAGGGTAATTGTAACATTTTAAGAGATAATGACAGAGTTCAAATTTGACAAAAGACATCAATCTATAAGTTCAAGAAGCGTTAAATACAACACAAAATAAGTTCAAAGCAAACATACTTAGGGGAATTATAGTAAAACAGCTGAAAACCAAAGAGATAAAGTGAAAATATTAAAAGTACCTAGAGAGAAAAGAGATTTGCCTCAGAAGAGCAATAATAAGGCTGAAAGCTAATTTCTTAAGAGAAAGATTGGGACCAAAGGTGATGCAGTGACTTTTTTTTTTTTTTTTTGCAGTATGCAGGCCTCTCACTGTTGTGGCCTCTTCCGTTGTGGAGCACAGGCTCCGTACGCGCAGGCTCAGCGGCCATGGCTCACAGGCCTAGCCGCTCCGCGGCATGTGGGATCTTCCCAGACGGGGGCATGAACCCGTGTCCCCTGCATCGGCAGGTGGACTTTCAACCACTGCACCACCAGGGAAGCCCTGCAGTGACATTTTTAAAGCATGTAAAATGATACTGCCAACTTAGAATTCTGTATTCAGTGAATTATCCTTCAAAAGTAAAGGCAGGGGACTTCCCCGGTGGCACAGTGGTTAAGAATCTGCCGCCAGTGCAGGGGATATGGGTTTGATCCCTGGTCCGGGAAGATCCCACATGCCATGGAGCAACTAAGTCCGTTCACCACAACTACTGAACCCCATGTGCCTACGGCCCATGCTCCACAACAAGAGAAGCCACCACAGTGAGAAGCCCACGCACCACAATGAAGAGTAGCCCCCACTCGCCGCAACTAGAGAAACCCCACGCAGAGCGACGAAGACCCAATGCAGCCAAAAATAAATTAATTTAAAAAAAAAAAAAGTAAAGGCAAAATAAAGACGTTTCAGACTATCAGTACTGAGAAAACGCATCTGAGCAGACCTACACTAAGGGAAATACTAAAGGCAGAATAAAAATAATCTAGCATAGAAACATGGAAATGCCTCTCCTCCAGAAATTCTGATTCAGTTGATAAGCCCAGACATGAGATATATTTTTCTAAAGCCCCTGAAGTGACTGCAATGTGCAGTCAGGTTTGAGAACCACTGTTCTACTGATGGATTGCGAATGTTGTGTTCGTGGACGTGAAGAAATGAAATATCCTCCACTCTATTTAAGAAACTGCAAGAGAAAAGGCAGGAAAGGTGGGCATCAGTGGAAGAATTTAGTACTGTATCTGGTAGGGCTTGTAAGTGGAGGGCAGGGAGCGCATGTATAGTTTTATTCAGTTCCTTTTCAAAGGCATTGATTAATTTATAGCCCAAGTATTATTTTCAATTTCAAAACCTTTTATTTAAAGAGAGCCTGAAATATATATGTTTGACAGAAGGGGACATGAGTATGGTTTCTTTCCTCTTTTTAAAAAATTGAGGTGAAATTCACATAACATAACTTTTTTAAAGTGTACAATTCAGTGGCATTAATATCTTCATGGTATTATGTAATCACCACTTCTATCTAGTTCCAAAACATTTTCATCACCCTGAAAGAAAACCCTGTATTAAGTAGTCACTCCCTGTTCTCCTACCCAGTAACCCCTTTCTTCAGTCCCTGGCAACCACCCTATTTGCTTTCTGTCTCTATGGATACCTCTTCTGGATATTTCGTATAACTGGAATCATTTACGACATGTAACCTTTTGTTTAGGGTTTCTTTCACTTAGCCTAATATTTTCAGTGTATCCACATTGAGCACAATTAGTGCTTCATGTACTTTTATGGCTGAATAATATTCCATTGAATGTATATACCACATTTTGTTTATGCATTCATCTATTGATGGGCATTTGGGTTATTTCCACTTTTTGGCTGTGATCATTCATGTACAAGTATTTGCTTGAGTATCCGTTTTCAGTTCTTTCGAGCATATAACTTGAAGTGGAATTGCTGGGTCATATGGTAATTCTATGTTTAACTTTTTGAGGCACCACCAAACTGTTTTCCACAACAGCTACACCAGCTTACATTCCCTGGTATAAAGTGGTATACATATCATTGTGCTTTTGATTTGTATTTCCTTAATGACTAATGATGTTGAGCATTTCTTCATGTTCTTGCTGGCCATTTGTATATCTTGTTTGGAGAAATACCTACTCAGATTTTCAGCCTGTTATTTTTCCTTTCAGTTTTATTGAGATATAATTGATACACAGCACCGTAAAAGTTCAAGGTGTACAGCATAATGACTGACCTATATACATCATGAAATGCTTACCACAGTAAGTTTAGTGAACACCCATCATCTCATATAGGGAAAACAATTAAAGAAACAGAAAAAAAATTTTTTCCTTGTGATGAGAACTCTTAGGACTTACTCTCTTAACCACTTTTATTTATAACATTCAGCAGTATTAATTATATCAATCATGTTGTATGTTACATCCCTAGTACTTGTTTATCGTATAACTGGAAGTTTTTACCTTTTGACTGCCTTCATACAATTTCCTCCCACCCCTTACCCCTCTGCCTCTGGTGACCATAAATCTGATCTCTTTTCCTATGAGTTTGTTTGTTTTTGAAGTACAGTTGACCTACAACACTATGTCCTGGTTACAACATAGTGATTTGATTTTTCTGTGCATTTCAAAATGATCACTACAATAAGTCTGATTATTGTCACCATACGAAGATATTACATAATTAAGACTATACTCCCCACACTGTACAATTCAGACCCGTGACTCATGTAATTTGTAACTGGAAGTCTGTACCTCTTAATCTTCCTCACCTCTTGCCCATATTTTTAATTGGGTTGTTCCTGTTTTCGTTGAGTTGTAAGACTTCTTTGTATATTCTGCATACTAGACTCTTATCAGGTAAATCATTTGCAAGTATTTTCTCCCATTCTCTAGGTTGCTGTTACAGTTTAAGGCCTAAAATTAAGGTCAGTATTATGTGCTGCCTGGATATCTGGTGAAACCAGGAGGGCCTTGAATAGTCCCTCCCAACTCTGCTCCCGTGGATCAGGCCCCCTATCCAAAGCCCTCTTTATTCAGGGGTCTAGGTAGTCTCTGCTTATTCCTGAGTAGTGAATTTCAGTTCCTTGCCAGATGGGTAATTATGGAAACAAACCAATCACATCCTCCCCTGGGAACCAATCGTCATCACTCTGTCCTTTTCATACTACAGAGCCTGCCACCCATAGCTCCTGGTTGTTCACTCTCTTCTCAAGTGTAACCCCATGTGAGTCTGTGTGGCATGCAGTGTCTTCCTCCCCTGGGATTTGAGTGTGTGTGACCAGTAATCTGCTTTTAATCTCATATGTCCAGTGTCAGATGTTGAGTGTTCAACCATCCCCATGACCCTAGGGGTCTCTTATCAATGGGGTGAATAAGAGGAGATTAAAATAGTTGTTTTACTTTCTTTATAGTGTACTTTGATGCATAAAAGTTTCGGATTTTGATTAGGTCTAATTTATCTATCTTTTTTGTGTGTGTTTGTTTCTAGAGCTTTTGGTTTCATATCTAAAATCCATTGCTAAATCCAAGCTCATGAAGATTTACCCCTTTGTTTTCTTGAAATAGTCATATCATTTTATCTCTCATATGTAAGTCTTTGGCCCACTTTGGGTTAATTTTTGTATATGTTATGGCTTAGGGGTCCAACTCCATTCTTTTACATTAGGATATCCAGCTGTATCTGTATCATTTGTTAAAGAGACTATTCTTTCCTCATTGAATGGCTTTGGCACACTTGTTGAAAATTAATTAGCCGTAGAGTATTTCTGAACTCTCAGTTCTAGTCCACAGGTTCATATGTCTATTGTTATATCAATTCCACAATAAATTTTGAAATTGTGAATCCTCCAACTTTGTTCTTTTTCAGTACTTTTCTGGCTATTCAGAGCCCTTTGCAATTCCATATGAATTTGAAGATCATCTTTTCTATTTCTGCAAAGAGGGCCTTTTTAATAAGCTGTTGGCTTCAGTTTGCTAGCAATTCATTGAGGATTTTTGCATGTATATTTATAAGGAATATATAGAAGACTATAGTCTTCTTGCATGGCTTTTCTGTCAGGGTAATAGTGGCCTCATAGAAAGCATTATGAAGTAAGTGTTCCCTTCTCTTCTACTTTATTGGAAGAGTTTGAGGATTGCTGTTAATTCTTCTTTTAAATGTTTGTTAGAATTTACCAGTGGAGCCAAGTGGTTCTGTTCTTTTCTTTGTTGGGAGGTTTTTGATTAGTGATTCAATTTCTTATTATAGGTCTGTTCATATTTTTTATATATTCCTGACTCAGTTTATATCATTTGTGTGTTTCTAAGAACAAGACCATTTCATCTAGGTTATCTAATTTGTTGGTGACAGTTGTTCATAGTATTTTTTATAATCCCTTTCATTTCTGTAAGGTCTTTAATGATGTCTATTTTCATTTCTGATTTCAGTTGTTTGTGTCTTTTTTATTCTCTTTTTTCTTTTTTTTTTTTTTTGCGGTATGTGGGCCTCTCACCGTTGTGGCCTCTCCCACT